TTCCTGCTACAAGTTTACCTGGAGTAGCTTTCTAGAACTTCCCTTCTTTGTCATCCACCCCATAGTCCACCTGCAGGAGTCTCAAGTGTCCTACAGAGATGCTACTTGTGTGTTCAATACCACATCATGTAACTCATCCGGGTAAACCACTAACCAAATGTCCTATATTAGCTGCACGTTCCTGAAGGCTAGTTTCATGTGGCAGTTTTCAGAGGTCGTCCTATTTTTCTACTTCAGACAGTGGATTTGTGATAGCTGGATCAGCTGTGAGAAAGCTAAATTTTGTTCAGGTTCGTAGAAATCTTCTGGACTTTGTCTTTATTCCCGGTACACCCAGTACATCCCCAGTGCCCTGATGTGAAGTTCTTTCTGATATATCAGTGTCTGAGGCACATCTTGATTTCTCCAGCATCCCTCTTCCAAACTCTGTTCCTAGAGGCTATCACAGTGCTTTGTGACGTTTCAGCAGTCCTTAGCTACAGTTGCCTGGACAGAATCTCGTTGACCAATCAGGTTGAAGGGTGTGGCCCTCCATTGTCTTGATAGGGTATAAATACAGGATTCTCAGTCTTCTTTTTCATACTACTGGGAGGCTTCCTTATGGAGAAGGTCATCAAACAGAATCACAGGAGCCTAGTATAAATAAGGACCCATGGAACACAAGCGCCAACAAGAAATAGGAACAAGGCTTCGTGTCAATCCAGTCCAGTGCCTGAAACAAGCCTAGAGTCAGTCTGTCTCTAGAAGATACAGAAAGATAAGCAGACCCAAGCTAAGTATTCTCCCTGCTCCCCCACCCCGACTGCCTATTCTTCTCTGGCCTCTCATAGGTGCCCCACCCCCAAACCTACATCTCCACTTATAAAGCCTACTTTATATGCAAATTGATTTCTCTCCCCAGACCCAAACTTTTATGACCTCATTGTATTGTGCTTGCCAGTATGAAAGACCACCAAGAAATGGAAGAGAACCTTAGAAAAGAGCAAAGTGAGGATGAGGAGGATCTCTGAAAGACTCGCGTTCTGTTTTTTTTTTAAGTTTATTAAATTATGAAAGTTTTCATTTCCGCCCCTCCTCCCAACACCCTTCCACTCCCCCCTCCCCCTCCTCCTCCCTCTTCATCCCTAAGAGCAGTCAGGGCTTCCAGCCCTGTGGGAAGTTCAAGTTCCTCCGCACTCCTTCCAGGTCCCTGAAGGTGAGTATCCGAACAGACTGGATCCCAAAAATCCAGCATATGCAGAGGAAACAAGTCCCAGTGTCATTGTCAGTGGCTTTTCAGAAAGGCTCCGGACCAGCCACATTCAGAGATCTGGCCACATTCAGAAAATCTGGTTGGATCACATGCTCGTTCAGTCCCAGTCCTACTGGCCTTGGTGAACTCTCATTAGATCCGTCCCCTTGTATCAGTGGGTGATCACACCCCTCGCGGTCCTGAGTTTTTTTTCATGTTCTTCCTTTTTCTGCCCCTCATTTGGACCATGGGGGGCTCAGTCCGGTGCTCCAATGTGGGTCTCCATCCGTATCGCCATCCATCATCAGATGGAGGATCTATGGTGATAAGCAAAATCTTCATCAGTATAGTTATAAGCCAAGGCCGGTTCAGGCACCATCTCCTCTGTCTAGAGAACAGTCTGGGGATCTCTTCTTGGTCCTGGGATCCCATTTATAATCAAGTCTCCTGTAAACCCTAAAATGACTTCCTTAGTTGAGATATATTCTTCCCTAATCTCATATCCATCCTTCCTCCCTCCCCCCATCCCAGTCCACCTAGCTTTCCCCATTCCTCCACTACTCCCTTCTCTCTAACCCTCTTCCCTTCCAACAACCCTCCCATCCCCCCATGCACCCGAGGTTACCTGGCACTCTTGTCTATTTCCAATCTCCAGGCAGATAGCTACATGATTTTCAACAGGTTCACCTTCTTATTTAGCTTCTCTAGGATCACGAATAATAGGCTCAAAGACCTTTAATTATGGTTAGAAACCACATATGAGTGAATACATACCATATTCCTCTTTTTGGGTCTGGCTTACCTCACTCAGTAAGGTGTTTTCTATTTCCATCCATTTGCATGCAAAATTCAAGATGTCATTGTTTTTTACCGCTGAGTAGAACTCTAATGTGTATATGTTCCACACCTTTATTAACCATTCTTCTATTGAGGGGCACCTAGGTTGTTTCCAGGTTCTGGCTATTACAAATAGTGCTGCTATGAACATAGTTGAACAAATGCTTTTGTGATATGATAGGGCATCTCTTGGGTATATTCCCAAGAGTGGAATTGCTGGGTTCTGAGGGAGGTTTACTCCCAGTTTCCTGAGAAACCGCCACACTGATTTCCACAGTGGCTGCACAAGTTTGCATTCCCACCAACAATGGATGAGTGTTCCCCTCATTCCACATCCTCTCCAGCATAGGCTATCATTGGTGTTTTTGAGTTTGGCTATTCTGACAGGTGTAAGATGATATCTCAAAGTTGTTTTGATTTGCATTTCCCTGATTGCTAAGGAGGTTGAGCATGACCTTAAGTGCCTTTTGGCCATTCGGAGTTCATCTGTTGTGAATTCTCTGTTCAGTTCAGTACCCCATTTTTTAATTGGGTTAGTTAGAGTTTTAGTGTCTAGTTTCTTGAGTTCTTTGTATATTTTGGAGATCAGATCTTTGTCTGATGAGGGATTTGTGAAGATCTTCTCCCAGTCGGAAGGTAGCCTTTTGGTCTTACTGACAGTGTCCTTTGCTTTACAGAAGCTTCTCAGTTTCAGGAGGTCCCATTTATTCATTGCTTCTCTTATTGTCTGCGCTCCTGGGGTTCTGCGTAGGAAGTGGTCTCCTGTGCCTATATCTTGTAGACTACTTCCCACTTTCTCTTCTATCAGGTTCAAAGTGGTCAGATTAATGTTGAGGTCTTTAATCCATTTGGACTTGAGTTTTGTGCATGGTGATAGATATGGATCTATTTTCATTCTTCTACAGGTTGACATCCAGTTATGCCAGCACCATTTGTTAAAGATGCTTTCCTTCTTCCATTGTATGCCTTTAGCTCCCTTGTCAAATATCAGGTGTTCATATGTTTGTGGGTTAATACCCGGGTCTTCTATTCGATTCCATAGGTCGACTTCTCTGTTCTTATGCCAATACCAAGCTGTTTTCAATACTGTAGCTCTGTAATAGAGTTTGAAGTCAGGGATGGTAATGCCTCTAGAAGTATCTTTATTGTATAAGATTGTTTTGGCTATCCTGGGTTTTTTGTTTTTCCATATAAACTTGATTATTGTTCTCTCAAGGTCTGTGAAGAAGTTTGATGGAATTTTGATGGTAATTGCATTGAATCTATAGATTGCTTTTGGTAGAATTGCTATTTTTACTATGTTGATTCTCCCAATCCATGAACAGGGGAGATCTTTCCATTTTCTGGTATCCTCCTCAATTTCTTTCTTCAAGGACTTAAAGTTCTTGTCAAATAGGTCTTTCACTTCCTTGGTTAGAGTTACCCCAAGATATTTTATGCTATTTGTGGCTATCATGAAAGGTGATGTTTCTCTGATTTCCCTCTCAGCTTCTTTATCCTTTGTGTATAGGAGGGCAACCGATTTTTTGGAGTTGATCTTGTATCCTGCCACATTACTAAAGGTGTTTATCAGCTGTAGGAGTTCTTTGGTAGAGTTTTTGGGGTCGCTTATTTACACTATCATATCTTCAGCAAATAACGAAAGTTTAACTTCATCTTTTCCAATTCGAATCCCCTTGATCCCCTTATGCTGTCTTATTGCTATTGCTAGGACTTCAAGCACTATATTGAAGAGGTATGGAGAGAGTGGACAGCCTTGTCGTGTTCCTGATTTTAGTGGAATGGCTTTGAGTTTCTCTCCGTTCAATTTGATGTTAGCTGTCGGCTTACTATATATTGCTTTTATTATATTTAGGTATGATCCTCGTATACCCAATCTCTCTAACACCTTTATCATAAAGGGGTGTTGAATTTTGTCAAATGCTTTTTCAGCATCCAATGAAATGATCATATGGTTTTTTCTTTCAATTTATTTATATGATGGATTACATTGATAGATTTGCGTATGTTGAACCAGCCCTGCATCTCTGGGATGAAGCCTACTTGATCATAATGGATAATTTTTCTAATATATTCCTGGATTCGGTTTGCCAGTATTTTATTGAGTATTTTGCCGTCAATGTTCATGAGTGAGATTGGTCTGTAATTCTCTTTCTTGGTTGTGTCTTTGTGTGGTTTTGGTATCAGGGTAACTGTACCTTCATAAAAAGAGTTTGGCAATGATTCTTCTGTTTCTATATTGTGAAATACATTAAGGAGTATAGGTATTAGCTCTTCCTGGAAGTTCTGGTAGAATTCTGCATTGAAACCATCTGGCCCTGGGCTTTTTTTGGTGGGGAGGTTTTTGATAACAGCTTCTATTTCTTCGCGACTAACAGGTTTATTTAGATTGTTCACCTGGTCTTGATTTAACTTTGGTAAATGGTATTTATCTAAAAACCAATCCATTTCTTGTACATTTTCCAACTTTGTGGCATATAAACTCTCGTAGTAAGATCTAATGATTCTCTGAATTTCCACTGTGTCTGTTGTTATGTCCCCCTTTTCATTTCTGATCTTATTAATTTGAGTGTTCTCTCTCTGCCGTTTGATTAGTTTGGCTAGGGGTTTGTCAATCTTGTTGATTTTCTCCAAGAACCAACTTTTTGTTTCGTTGATTTTTTGGATTGTTTTCTGTGTTTCTATTTTGTTGATTTCAGCCCTCAGTTTGATTATTTCCAATCTTCTACTCCTCCTGGGTGAGTCTGCTTCTTTTTTTTCCAGAGCTTTTAGGTGTGCTGTTAAGTCTCCAATATATGCTTTCTCCGTTTTCTTTAATTGGGCACTTAGTGCTATGAACTTTCCTCTTGGAACTGCTTTCATTGTGTCCCATAGGTTTGAGTATGTTGTGTCTTTATTTTCATTAAATTCAAGGAAGACTTTAATTTCTTTCTTTATTTCTTCCTTGACCCAAGGATGATTCAGTAGTTGACTGTTCAACTTCCACGCATTTGTAGGCTTTCTGGAAATCACTTTCCATTTCACTCAACCAGATGTTAGCATATGCTCTTAGCAGATACGAAAAGAATGGCTTACATTTTAATGTACACCTCAGTTGTATAGAACAAAAAGAATATGAAAACTGTAAACTCAATAACGCAGCTCAAGCGCAGATCCTGGAGTGATGGGCATATCTGCACTGTCCAGTGCTGTGTACACAAGACACCTATGACTATCAGCACTTGAAATATGACCAGTCAGACTGAGGAATAAGATCTTAATTTTATGTCCTTACAGTTGACTACATTTATGTTTTAATCACCACATACAGCTAGTGCATACTGCAAGGCTCAGCTGTAGAAAACTAGCAAGAAACACTCTGGTTTGAGGTCTAGTTCAAAATGATTCATATTCAGAGATGTGACAAGATCTGTGTTCATTAATTTCCAGCTCTTGCTTTATTCTCTTATTCCCAGCAGCAAGAGGATTGCTGCTGCAGGATAATGTCGAAATGGTCCTCCAATCTATTCTAGCTAATGACTAAGGGTACCCCAGCTGTAGTTTTCAAATGGATTGCAAAAGCTCCTCAAGAGAAGCAATATCATCTTAACATATATCTCTAATATACTATAACCCAACTTAGACACTTAAATATTTATTGCTAGGATTTTCTTGGAAAGAGCATGACATATGCATTTAGACAGATAAGGATAATTTATATCAGAAAAGTAAGTGTGCATCTTACTAGAGCAGAAGGGTTGTTTGTAGCACACACTGTGGGCTTGTCCTTCTGAAGCTCTGTGCTGTTTGGCTGTGTATCTCTATGTGTGTCTGCATGACTGTGAGTATGCCTGTGTGTCTCTGGGTCCATGTGCATTTCTATTTTTGTCTGTATATGTATCCATGTGTTTCCATATGTATCTGTGTGTCTGTGGGTATACCTGTGAATGTGTCTGTGTTTCTGTCTGAGCATATTTCTATGTGTGTCTGTGTTTGTATATGTGAATCTGGATATCTGCAACCTACCTCCGTGTTTATGTGTATGTGTAGTTGCATCTGTGTGTCCTTGTGCATGTATGTATATTATGTATGTGTGTTTATTTGTCTATGTGTGACAGCATATATCTATGTATGTGTGAATGTGTGTCTTGTGTGTGTATGTGTTATTAATAACTATGGCTCATAGGCAGTAGACACTTTACAGAGAAGTCCAAATTGTTTTAATTTTTCTAGCTCTGACAAAACTCTAAGTCTGTATTGGTGCTTAAAATGGTAGTTTTATATAAAATACAGACATCTGAAAAATTTTAATATTATTTTAAATTATTAATATTAATAAAACTTTTAATAATAATTCAGAAAAACAATGTAAATTCAATCAACAAAATAAACATTATTTATAAAAGTAGATTTGTTTTAGCTAAAATAATTCATCATCTGTCCTTTTAAGACTCATCTTTCAAGAGGTAATTGATTAATCAGAACTTTCAATGTTCTACAGTGCTTCCTTCATCACAGAAGATGGAAGGTTTAAATTCTTACTTCCAGAGTACACTGAGCATAATTTTATTTTCATTCAGCTTTGCTAAGAAGTAGCAACAGCACAGTAATCAAAAATAAAGGAAACACGAAGTAAGAGAAGACAGACAGAGCTGGTATCTGCTCTTTAGCTATGATTTCTAGGCCATGATTTCTGTGACCGTCACCTTACACGTTCCAGGATCCCTAAGTCCAATAAAGCAGAATTATTTAGAAGTATATACATCATTATATCAAGGCATCAGATATCTTTCATGAACTCCATCTGTTTAGGTATTCTGTCCCACTCTTGTTGCTAAACCAGAGTGCCTAGAGGAGGAACATCATACTGTATGAGACTTTAATGCCTATGATGACAAGTTTATTTATGCACAGTATAGCATTTTTCTAAGAATCATCTCAAACTCCCCACAGACAAAGCTTTTGGCCTCACTAGGTATTTTCCCTGCTATCAGCTGTGATGTAGGTGGGCCTTCTGTCTATGTGTTGTTTTCATTGGTTAATAAAGAAACTGCCTTGGCCCTTTGATAGGACAGAAAATCAGGTAGGCGGAGTAAACAGAACGGAATGCTGGGAAGAGGACAATGAGTCAGATGCCATGGAGCCAGCCACCAGGTCAGACATGCTGACTCTTTCCTGGTTAGCCATCACCTTGTGGTGCTTCTCAGATTATTAGAAATGGGTTAATCAAGATGTGAGAGCCAGTTAATAACTCTAGAGATATCGGCCAGACAGTGTTTAATTGAATACAATTTGTGTGTCGTTATTTCCGGGGCTAAGCTAGCTGTGCTGGAACCAGGCAGGACGAAAGGCAGGCCTGTCCGCGGCTCCTCACTACACAGCTGGGGACTGTTCTATTACACTGTTGCCAGAATTCTACATCCAGTTTAACTTCCACTTTCTAAAACATATTCTCTACTACTAATAATACTGAAAAACATTATGTAATTCATACATTTTTTTCAATTAGCAATTAAAGATTTTCTCACACACACACATACAAGAGTGGGTTCTTTGGTGACATGATTAGGATGAATGTCCTTATGAGAGAGACTCCAAAGAAAGTTCATTCTTTTTGCTTTTGTGCTTTTCTGGCTTGTGAGAATAGAGTATCCCTGTGAAAGGTGGACCAACAGTGTGCGTTTGGAAGCAGAGAGCAGCCTTCTGGAAGCATCAACAACGAAATGGACTTCCATCCTACAGAACTGTAAGAGAGCAAATATGTCATTTTTTAAAAAAAATTAAAGAAATTTAATCAATTTAATGTTTCTTTCTTATTAAGGAAGGGAAATATGGTAATCCAGAATATATATATATATATATATATATATATATATATATGTATGTATGTGTGTGTGTGTGTGTATGTAAGTTATTTTGCCAAAAGATACTCTTAAATTGTCATTTACCTTTGACTTAAATTCTGGACAATGTGGTTATTTCTAAACTAGCTTACATTATTACTTTATAATATCAACTAGGAACTTGTGAACCAAAGTGGTTTTCCCCCCTTAACTGTAGCTCATGTTCACATTTGACTTGGCTGCATAACTAATGGCTGTTCTGAGAAATACATTTCTCTGATCCGTTAATACTCAGTTCTTATTAAACAATTCAATTACTAAATTGCACCACTCAGTATTTTACATTAACAGTGACTACCCACTGATTATAGATAGATGGCCAGGTCATTTTTACGCAAAAGCACTTTTGATCATTTAACATATTACTATCAAATTAGTTGTATTGCCATAAAACTCACAGTAGGCAAGTAATCAACAGAGAAATGACTGAATGCTTGATTTATTTTGTAATATTGAGGAAGACCGCATTTGAGGCAATATGAAATCTGAGTTCAGTATAAACTGGGTATTTTAAAGAAGAGGAACAAGAAAAATAGCTCTTCCTGTTTCAATTTTATGGAACTGAAAAGAACTAATAAATGCTAAATACAGCATGTGTGTGTGTGTGTGTGTGTGTGTGTGTGTGCGTGTGTGTGTGTATTTCACATATTCGTGTTGCATACATCAGCAGGAATGAAACCAACAGTGTCTTTCTGGGGTTATTAGTAATTCAGTGGTCCTTGAAACTTAGGTTTCTGAAGAAGCTCTGGGAGACAGAATAAAGAGTTAGCAGTAAGGAGCAGATGGTAGAAGTACTTTGAATGCCATATTGATTTTCAATTTTATTTATGGGAAGGTGGAAATAATTGGCATGCTCTACACACAGTAACAAGATTTGCTGGTGACAGGCAGCTTGTATTTTGGTACTTTAATCAATTTCTGATGTGCAAACACAGGACAAAGAAAGGAGGCTGAGTAAAGTTGATTGCTCGATTAATGAGGAAACAAATAGATATGATGTAGGAGAGTTTTAGAGTAATAATTGGTAGAATTTCTTGATGTACTAGATATAGCTAAAGGTAAAAAAAGAATCAGATATGTGTGGGATAACATGTCAAATAACTTCAGTAAATGGGGTAGCCATTTAGTGGGATAAAAATACCCCAAGGCACTGCCGGTCAATTTACATGCCACATTCAATACCTCATCTCAGCCATATTCTCCACGCCTTGCACCAGGGTGTATTCAGGTGAGTCTCTTGGAGCTTCCCCTCTGCACACCTTCCTTAAACCCATGGATATAGTCTAGGACCCACACACTATGCCCCTCTTCTAGTCTAGACAGCTCTGCTCACATGAGTCAGAATTCATAGACCCTTGGTGCACAGCCAACCTCTCCAACCAGCTGGGTCCTGCACACCTTGAGCCTGGATCTAGCCAGGTGAATCCACATTATCCTCTCTAAAACCCTCCTCACAGGTGATGCTTCTCTGATTTCCCTCTCTGATTCTTTATCCTTTGTGTATAGGAGGGCTACTGACTTTTGGAGTCGATCTTGTATCCTGCCACATTACTAAAGGTGTTTATCAGCTGTAGGAGTTCTTTGGTAGAGTTTTTGGGGTCGCTTATGTACACTATCATATCATCTGCAAACAACGAAAGTTTAACTTTTTCCTTTCCAACTCGAATCCCCTTGATCCCCTTATGTTGTCTTATTGCTATTGCTAGAACTTCAAGCACTATATTGAAGAGGTATGGAGAGAGTGGACAGCCTTGTCGTGTTCCTGATTTTAGTGGAATGACTTTGAGTTTCTCTCCATTTAATTTGATGCTAGCTGTCGGCTTGCTGTAAATAGCCTTTATTATATTTAGGTATGAACCTTGTATCTCTAATGTCTCCAACATCTTTATCATAAAGGGGTGTTGAATTTTGTCAAATGCATTTTCAGCATCTAATGAAATGATCATATTTTTTTTCTTTCAGTTTATTTATATGATGGATTACATTGATAGATTTGCATATGTTGAACCAGCCCTGCATCTCTGGGATGAAGCCTACTTGATCATAATGGATAATTTTTCTAATATGTTCTTGGATTCGGTTTGCCTGTATTTTTTTTTCTCCCAGAAGTTCGGGGTGGTTTTTTTTCTTTCTTTCTTTCTTTCTTTCTTTCTTTCTTTCTTTCTTTCTTT